ATAGATCTTAGACAATACACATAAGGAGTTGATAATGCATAAAGACTAGCAGAGACCCGTAAAACATTTGGGGCCAAATTAGTATATTTTGCCATAGTACTTCTTTATATAGAGGATTTCTAGAATAATACAAAAGAAATCTAATCGTAGACGCCGAAATCTATACGTCCACTTGTCTTAGGCTTCACATTAGTTAAGCTTTTATTAAGTATGGCCTATATTCGATAAAGGGGTATGTTAACAATGTAACTTGGGTAGTTTCTTTTGCTTTAGTTTAGATAGGGATAAACTTTACTGTAGTTAATACTATTGATAAATAAACGTATAATGTTATTCTACTATGTGACGTCAGACCTTTCTAAAAACTCTGATAAGTTTTAAATATGTTTTTGTACAAAATGTCTATTAAAGTAAATTTACATCCGCCTTTGTTTGCATCCTTTTCGCATTTAGATTGTTAGGTGAGCGCACATTTCCAGGACAGACAAAAACTTATATTATTATTATAAAGATGTTTGTTGCTTGTAATACACGCAGACAGATCTTTAACCAGGTATAAAATATATCTGGACATATGTTATCAATAGCTGAGATCGCAAGGTTGTCTGTAATACGAAAAGTTATAAGTGCTCAAGTGAGCACAGGCTAATGGAGGGATCAGATATATCTACAAACGTTATACCACAGGCAGCATAATTTATGAAATACAATAACATATCATCTGACATTGATTATACTGTAGTTTTATAGCAAACATAGTGAAAACGTAAAACTAGTACTTTATGGTCAGGTTATTGTAATCTTTCTTCAGGGCTGAGAGGAGCAACGGCCCTTCGTGTCCCTCACAGTTGATGTCCCTGGTCTTGTGGTGGGATGTGATATATCTAACCCTTTTCTATTAAAGGGTGATCTAGACGTGGGATTAGGTATACTAGACACTTTCTATTACAGGCTGGTCATGAGGTGGATGAGGTATATCTGGACACTTTTTATTACAGGCTGGTCATATGGTGGAATGAGGTATATCAAGACACTTTCTACTACAGGCTGATCACGAAGTGGAATGAGGTATATCTAGACACTTTCTATTACAGGCTGGTCATGAGGTGGAATGAGGTATATCTAGACACTTTCTATTACAGGCTGATCATGAGGTGGAATGAGGTATATCTAGACACTTTCTATTACAGGCTGGTCATGAGGTGGATGAGGTATATCTAGACGCTTTTTATTACAGGCTGGTCATATGGTGGAATGAGGTATATCTAGACACTTTCTACTACAGGCTGATCACGAAGTGGAATGAGGTATATCTAGACACTTTTTATTACAGGCTGATCATGTGGTGGGATGAGGTATATCTAGACACATTCTATTACAGGCTGATCATGAGGTGGAATGAGGTATATCTAGACACTTTCTATTACAGGCTTGTTCATGAGGTGGATGAGGTATATCTTGTCACTTTTTATTACAGGCTGATTATGTAATGGGATGAGGTATATTTAGACACTTTCTAGTACAGGCTGATCGTGTGTTGAAATTACATATATGTGGAACGGATTAAGGTTTAGTGGGAGCCTAGACCCAGGTAATATTTGGGAATAATAATAATTCACTCTTGCCTCTATTCTGCTAGTTTTACAGACTATAATTTATTTACTTTTGTCGCCGGAGGGTCCCTTGTATAGCCGTGGCCCTAGGTCCGGGCTTAGGTGGCCTATGCGTTGATCCGGTACCGGTTACAGGCTGGTCTTTTGGTAGGATAAGATATATCCAGACGTTTAACCCTATATAACAAAGTGACTATTAGTAGTTAATGACATAAATAAAACTCAAGACAACTAAAGCTTATAATGGTTAGAATGCACAGAATAAAAATTTGGATAGCCTTTTTTGTAAAAAAAAAAAATCATGGCCCTAATCCCAGCAATACCTCACGAGCTTCGGCCAGCCTGGGCTAGTTCTAAGTCCAAAAAGTAAGCCAACTATGAGAGTGACTTTATGTCTACGAACTGCTGTAATGATGGACGAATTCTAGCGATGTAATGTGTGTGAGGTGTAAACACTGCAGCATGACTTATTTTAAAAAAGTAACATACAATCATTTGTTACAGGTGAAGTGAAGGATTTTCACTCTTTGAATGGCTATTATTTGCTGAGGTTTAACTCTGCACCAGGCTCGCTAAAAAGAAAAATAAATACACCCATCAAGCGTTGACCCTTATACAACTACTACAATTGAGTATACAAAACTCATACTAATGAGCATAAGATATATATGAGAATTTGTTACATGGAACCACCAAAGAAACATGTGAATTCCTCAGTTATTGATTAGATTTAAATTTTACCAAAGTATTTTCAGCGGAAAATCTTTGGAAAAGTTGTCAATAATGCTTGATGCTTAATGATGACTTTTTAGTGGATATCGCACCTGGATCCGTCGCTAGCTTTTCATAGTGAAACTTCACCGCACGCGACTCACGTTGTTTTCTATGTTATTCCAGACTTCTGTCAGTCACGTTAATGGGCGGAGCCTAGACGATACAGAAAACCGGCGGGCTAGCGACTGCAACAGAACTCAAGTAGACTGGAGAGTGACGCGATGGGGATGCGAGCTAGATTGTCCCGGCTCGTTACCCTGGTTCTTTTATCTACGGTGTTACAGGTATGACGCTTTAGACTGAGTAGAGATAAATAAGAATAGAGTAAACGATAAATTATATATATTTCAATGAAATAACAAAATAAATTAATGTTTAATATGTTAATTATTAGGTCATCGTTACTGAATCATAACCGAGATAGAAACTTCATTGATATGTAATCAACTTTGTTTGTAACAAAACAGTTTATGCGTGAATATATATATAGTATAAAGCAGCAATTTGCTATTTTTGTGAAATATAATTTTAGTTATTTTATTAGGTAAAATATCAAGTGGTCAAAATGGACCAATTAGTCACAACAAACAATGCTAAATGACCATAACTACTAAATGTCTCTGTCTTTCAGTTAATTTATTTGATTATATATTAGACAGAATGGTTAATACAATTTAAAACCCCTTTTTAATTTCCCTTTATTACTATAGGTTTTAGGTTCCGGGGTGTTCGAGTTTCGTCTAGTGTCATTTTCGAACGAATACGGCCGTGATTTCGAAGGAAATTGTTGTAGCGGATATCGTACTTCGCAGGGTTTGTGTAGTAGTGTTTGCCGGACGTCATTTCGCGTGTGTTTGAAACATTACCAAACAACCATTGATCCAAATCCGCCTTGTACTTTCGGCGAGGTTATAACGCCTGTGTTAGGCAATAACTCTGTGCATCTTTTGGATAAAAAAGTTCCCGGATTTAACAATCCTGTTCGGTTCTCTTTTGATTTTTCCTGGCCGGTAAGTAGAATATACATTAAGTTAAACTTAAGGGTTATTTTAAAAAATCAATGATAATTTGGTAAAATAGTTACATCAGTGACAGTTTGAATTATAAATGTGCATTGTCGTTTGCGTGAGAAACTATTTAAAGGCAATAAGATAGAATATAAATTCTAAAACGTTTTTCAGAATTTTGTGACTTTAATGTTAAGCCAACAATATCATATTACAAAAGAGCAAACAAACGTGCACCAAATGTGACAGTCACGTGAACAATGTCTCGTCAGTTGTCAATATAGTTATTGTTAAATACGATACAACTGATCCATCATTCCACGAAAGCTTAACCATAGTAGTTTTATAAAATGCAGGTGTGAATTCAGTTGCTTACAGTTGCTCAAGGTCAAGCAGATAGAACTCGTATATAGGATGTTGGATCTGTCCAGCTATATTTCACACTTCTAATCACTGCGTAATAAAATCTTCTCTTTATTTTGATTCCAGGATGTGTTTCATAGAGCGCGAGCAAGTTTCGTTAGTGTCGTATTCTAGTGAATATGCCCAACCTTTTCACCCCTCTTCGTGAAAACATGATTGCAGCACTTATATCAAGACCTAAGTTACGTAAAAGTTGCAATTCTGTTACACACCTCCTATTTTTGAAACATGTACGAGACCGATAGCAGTGGACGGATATTGACCTGTTATCACAATCATTTGTCGCTTTCAATTTACATATCTAACCTATACGAAAAATAGAAACATTTCTTTATGAACACCTCTCGTAAACATACTTAACAATTGTTATAAAAATATAGATGTATTTATTGCAGAATATAAAAAACTTATACAATATTTGTATACATATGTTTATATATTACAGCATACTGGCAAATGATTCTGTCAAGTGTTTCTTTTTTTATGACTAAAATGATGATCATGAATGTAGTCAACAAATATATACAAAAAAACTATTCCTATTGGCTACGTTTTAGTAACTTAAGTAGGAGAGACAAGTTTTCACAAGTTTGTAATTAACAATCCATTATTTCTTAATACTTTCAAACATCATATCACGTTACAAACGTATAACGTTTAGATCTCTGTGTCTTTGAATGAAACAGGTCTCAAAATTAAATCTTAACGTTGATTGTGGTTTACTTTCTAATTGTCTTTATCGCTGGATTTGAACGATATTTTTGTTTTTATATTTAAAAGTTGCTGTTAATCATTCGGAGAATTCAAAACGGTATTTGGCAAGCTTTCACGTATCTTGTATTACCAAAACTTGCGAAGAATTATAGTTGTTCTTAGATAAAAGCCTGTTTTCTTTGTTGTTAAGCGCAAAGCTGCAAAATGGAATATCTTGTATTGCGCTCACCACAGTCATCGAACTCTCAACTGAAGCGTTATAACTTCTCAAGGTTACCGCTAAACCACCGGAAGTTTGTTTGTTTGTTTGTTTTGGATTTCGCGTAAAACTACACTAGGGCTAACTGCGCCAACCGTCCCTAATTTAGCAGTGTAAGACTAGAGGAAAGGCAGCTAGTCATCACCACCCACCGCCAACTCTTGGGCTACTCTTTTATCAACGAATAGTGGGATTGACCGTTACATTATAACGCCCTCACGGCTGAAAGGGCGAGTATGTTTGGTGTGACAGGGATTCGAACCAGCCATCCGCAGATTGCGAGTCGAGCGCCCTAACCACCTGGCCACCGGAAGTTATAAACTTGATACCCGGAAGCCAATATATGATGTTTTTCACAGTTTATCAATCTTTATAAGCTTGAAAGAGCAGTACTGTTATTGTATGGTAAATTTATCTTTAAATTTTTAAAAATGAAGCCTGTTTGTATGATGAAAAGAGTGTAGTTTTGGGTCACGTTAGTTTTATAAAAAACATCATATTGTATTTGCTTAAGAGACAGATATATATCTTATTTCCTTTTATATAATATTAAAGGTATCGAGAGCATAGAAGCAATGCAAAAATGTTTTAAGCCCACTCTGAAACACAAATAATTGGGCTATCTAATAACAAACAACAGCATGTGTTAAGTATTACGCTATATGTTATTGTAATAATGTTAAGTAACACAGCGTGTGTTGATGCAATAATGTTAAGTAAAACAAAGTATGTTAATAAAATAATGTTAGGTAACACAGCGTATTTTAATATCAAATGTTAAGTAAAACAACAAATGTTAGTGTAATAATGTTAAATAACACAAGTTATGCTAATATAATAATGTTAAGTAAAACAAGAAGTATTAGGGTAATAAAATTAAGTAACACAAGTTATGTTAATATAATAATGTTAAGTAAAGCAAAATACGTTCATGTAATAATGTTAAGTAAAACAACTTATGTTAGTGTAATCATATTAAGTAACATAGAATATGTTCATGTAATAATGTTAAGTACATTAATATAATATTTTTAAGTAACAAAGGATATGCTAGTAGAATAATGTTAAGTATCATGTACATTACATACCTGTAAACAATTACCTTAGTTTGATTTTTTTTTATTTATAGAGAGAGCATGAAGTACAAGATTTTTTATATTTATAACGCTATAATTTGAGTATTAGTAATGTATTAGTTGTATAGGACGTAAACTGGAAACCATAACCATTAAAGGTTGGATAAAAATGTGTTGCATAGAAGAAAGTTTAAACTTATGGAATAAGTAGTTTGGGAGTGGGTTCAAAAAGGAGGTTAAAAAGACAAAGATTTTAGAATTACTAAATTGCAACCCTTCAGAGCAGAAAAAGTTATTTTATGATTTCAAAAATATTTATTCACACCTTGGCGTGTTTAATGGGCCGGGCGTGGTTTTGTGGTTATCGTGCCCGAACTTTGAATCCAATGATTCATGGTTAGCAGCCCGTTGTTGCAAAAATTCTCTCTACACTTTGGGGCCGTGAATGAGCTATACGAATGACAGTTAAATCCCACTATTTTGTCAAACAAGAGTAGCCCAAGTGTTAACAATGTGTGTTGTTGACAAGCTGCGGTCAATCGGTTCAAAATTAGGGCGACCTGGCATGGACAGGTGGTTAAGGCGCTCGACTCTCAACCTGAGAGTTACGGGTTCAACTTACCCTTACCAAACATGCTCGCCCTTTCAGCGGTGAGGGTGTTATAATGTGACGATCAATCCCACTATTCATTGGTAAAAACAGTAGCTCAAGAACTGGTGGTGAGTAATGTTGACTGTCTGCTTTACCTATAGTCTTTCGCTGCTAAATTAGGGACGGCTAAATTAGATAGCCCTTGTGTAGTTTTGCGCGAAATTCAAAACAAACTAAAATTAGGGACTGCTATGTGCAGGTACCACTTGGTATACCTTTACGCGAGATTTTGACATAAACTCAAAAAGATACGTTTTACTCGTGTTGAAATATATCTAATCAAATTAATTTGAATTATCGTAAAGACGACATTGTGTCATTTAAACACAAATTACTGGAATTTGTTTGAGTCATGTGTGGTTCGATAAGTCTGACTGTGTGATTGCCTTATGTCTTGAAAAATAACACTACTTATACAATGTGGTTTTGTTTGTTTCTGTTAACGGAGCTTTTTAAATTTTCTCCCCAGGGACTCAGCGGTAAATCAAAAGGCTTATAACGCTAAAAATAGGGTTTCCACACCTGTAATGGGCATAGCACAAATAATCCGTTGTGTAGCTTTGTGCTTAACAATAAATAGAACCTAAAAATTCTTACATTTTCTAAAAGACGCGTTTCTTATGTGCAGATTTATCAAACAAAACTATACCAGAGATGACATTATTTAGAGAGAATTTACTCTTGCTTACGAGACAACGAATCATAAGAACTTATGAGTGAAAGCAAATAAGAATGTGTTATAATATGTTAATCACACTACATCGTGCGTATCCAGTGCCAATGAGACCTTTCGCACAATACCATGGCTCAACAGGTCGGCTAGAATATGATAAACGTAGTAGTGGTCTATTTATATCATCAGTTTCAAGAACAACGACTGTGGTAACGTGAACTAGATGAAATATATGATTTGTAATTATTTTAGATGAATGTTAGAAATGTCGAGATATAACAATGCTTTAGTTCTCTATCTAAATAAACTAAGTTATATTAAAATATTTCTAAAACAAAAGGACCCCTATTTCTTATATTATGTTTCCCGGTGGATCAGTGATAAGTTTTCGGACTTACAACGATAAAGTCCGGGGTTCATTTCCATGCGGTAGATAGAGCGCAGATAGCTCAATGTGTGGCTTTGCTATAAAAAACAAAGAAATCCTTACCTTATTTCTACAACTTATTCATCTTATGCTGTTAATTTTTTCGAAGCTAGTTTTGCCAATAAATGGAGTTGATTTGATGTTGCTCCAGCTTTGGGAGTTGTTGAAACTTATATTCCTTATTAGCTGGTCTTCATTCTCGTGTCTATAGACACTTGCACTACGTGGATGGTACTGATATGTCTCCATTTTGTTACGATCAGATATCCTCCAGATGTCGTTAATTCAGCCTCTGAAGGTTGATCCATCTCAGTCCAAGGTGATATGGACTATACTTATGAAAATAAGTCTTATGTTTGCACTAAGAGTCCAGGAGATGAGTTGTCATCTTTCGTTCGTCTACGTACTTCTACTCATTTCCTAATAATCTGGATAAAGTTTTTATTTTCGGGGAATTTCATGGTTTCTCTCAATACCCTTTTACATTTAACAATCGGGGAATTAGTCATTTCATGGTTTCTCCCAATACCTTTTACATTTAACAATCGGGGAATTAGTCATTTCATGGTTTCTCCCAATACCTTTTACATTTAACAATCGGGGAATTAGTCATGTCATGGTTTCTCTCAATACCCTTTTACATTTAACAATCGGGGAATTAGTCATTTCATGGTTTCTCCCAATACCTTTTACATTTAACAAAGTTTGTAGTCTTCTTGAAGAGGTTAAGTCATTTCATGGTTTCTCCCAATACCTTTTACATTTAACAAAGTTTGTAGTCTTTTTGAAGAGGTTTAGTCATTTCATGGTTTCTCCCAATACCTTTTACATTTAACAAAGTTTGTAGTCTTCTTGAAGAGGTTAAGTTCTTTCTTTTTCTTTTTTGCAACTTCTTATAATTATAACTAACGTGTAACGTCCGTTAGAAACGGTTGTATGATGTACTAATTCAAACATCTTGATTATAAGGAGTAAACGTGACTGCTTTCGTCCGGAAAATATCGCGCGACAACTATCATAATGGCTACCACGTGTTGAGAACGCTGATCGTTCGTATTTTCCAAATGGGTTGGATCCGTAGAATAAAATATTAGATACGAAACAGATGGTCAAATAAGTGTTTGATATTTTCAACCTGAGCACTACATTATGCGACACATGGGCTAAACCACCAGTCAGAGATCCAAAGGTTCAAACACAAACATTCCTAATGCAGAACTGCTGACCAGAAGGAGAAAAAAACAGTCATTAACGTCTGACCATACACATCTGCTCCTAACCAAATAGCAAGATTGTTTATCGCTTTTATAATGAATCCACATTCTTACAGTACGATGTGTATTCAGTGGCATAATACAAACTCATACTTTGGTCTTTCAATTCCGCAGCCCAGCACACTAACCACCAGACTACACCCAACCGCAGACAAATTAAGAAATATCGCTCTTGTTTTTGTTCAACAAATGGCTCCTAAGAAAGAAATAGTAATTTTCTTTTATGATCATATATGAAATTTGCTGTAGAATATCGAGTTCAGTTAATAACAGTTATGTGATTATAATGAAAAATGTGTCTTTATTGTATAAATTAGCACACGTGGACTGATATCAATAAGTAAATTTTATTTTTTCTCCAGGGAACATTTTCATTGATTGTTGAAGCCTGGCACGAAAACAGTGATAGAGAAGGTATGTTAATAATTATCCACTTATCGTAATGTTGGAGTTGATTAGAAGTTAATTAAAATAATACCGTGTTATAAATGTTGGTCACGAAACATCCACTGTCGGTATTTACAAGTATCAAACTTCTGAACAATGAATACCTAACATTAGCCAAACGTTAGCCTTACTATTTTCACTTTAGGATCAGCCGTAAATTGCACATTACCCGAAGACAAGTAAACGAAATGCAACGGGTGGGGAGGAGTGAGCCATGTCTCAGAGATTTGGTTTTATGTGAAATACTCAAACGTTCATGTTTTGACACATACAGGTCTAATAATCTGAAGTAAAACATTAAGCTTTAAGTTCAGTTGTTTTATTTTATTATTATTTTTTAGTAGCAGGCTTAAATTACAACAGCAAATCGATGTTACAAAGCAAGAAAAAGAATTACGCCACATTACGATGCTTTCCCTTAGAATTTACAATTAATATTTTCCCTCAGTTCACAACCGTCTTTTTGTTTTTGAACTATTGTAATATCTTAAGCATCAAGCATTGTTTTCAGGAGTTTTACTCATTGTAAGCTAGGTTTTGTGGAATTGTTCTCATTAAACAATACACTGAAACTCCTTAAATATCACCGCGTCATCTCCTACTTAATTCTAGGCGAGGTATAATAAGGTGTTATAAAATATGGGCTTAAGCGGACACTTCGTGTATTTCATTAAAGTTGATTATCGTTAATTCTCTATAATGGTTTGTATTCAGTCGTCGCTCTGCTGCGATGTGAAAGTTGGTAAACTGATAGTAATAACCTGAAGTTAAGATAATACACGCATGCAATTAAATTTAAAAGTACCCTCCCCTGCTGTCGTATTTTAAAATTTTAAACTAACTTAACCTTATTTAGTCTCTGCAGCCACGTATAATGAATTTTTTGTGACGGCCTCTATACCCACTGTCAAAGGTAGACGAAGATACGTGAATCAAACATTCACTCACTCATATGGAAGCGGTCAGTCTGCCATCTGGGATGCAGGGAGGATCAATAGTCAGTCTAGAGCTCTCTTCTTCCCCCCATTCTTCCGCTGTCTACCAAGGTTAAGGACCTGAGAACCGTGAGAAACATGTGATTCGGCCGTCAATATTTACTGAGTAGACCTATTGTCGACGTAGAGAAAAAGAGTACCCAATAAGTCTTAAGAACACGTTGTGGGAATTGGTGGATGACCTGTTAACAGCTTTAGGCGGACTTATATATTATGTACATTAGGAGTTGTTTTATCTCGTTTTTATGCTTTTTTTTTACTGTGGTTATCGTTTATGGCCTTTTTTAATTAATATTGATATTGTTATTTTAAACTAGGTATTGTCAAGTTATATTACATTTTATCTTGTTTCAATTATTTTGATAATATATTTCAAAAATAAAATAAGTTTTATAAAGTTTAATTTGCAGTTAGAAATTTTGCTTGCGTCTTAGTACCAGTCAGATGGTACTATGCGATAGCTTTGAATATATCTTATATACTTGAATAATTGCAGTGTATTAACTGTTCAGTAATGAGTATCATCCAGATTGAATGTGTACAATTCATAGTCATACAAAGTATTCAGTCGTTCATTTTATGTATGGTTTCAAATGCACTGTGATTAGAACATTCGACTCACAATTCGGTTCGCGCATTCGAACTCCTTCACCAAACATGCTTGTGTTTCAGCTGTGCGAGCGTTATAATGTGACCGTCAGTCACACTATTCTTTGATAAAAGAATAGCCCAATAATTGGGGGTGGGGTTGACTAGCTGCCTTCCTTCTAGTTTATCACTTCAAAGTTAGGGACGACTAGCGCAAACAGCCCTCGAGTGTTTTTCTTTTTTTTTTGTCAAAATCAATAAAACAAACAATCAAATGCATTGAATCCTTAGAGCTTATGCGATGTTCATTTAATATATATAAAAGCCAGTTGCCTTTTAGTAATGCTCTGTTTGTCTGTGTAGCTTAGCAACAAAACTATACATATATACTAGGTTTGAACTTAAAAACGCAGAAAAACTATCTTAACTGTATAGGTCACATCAGCTTACAGAGGCAACAACTATTTTAACTGTATAGGTCACATCAACTTACAGGGGCAACAACTATCTTAACTGTATAGGTCACATCAACTTACAGGGGCAACAACTATCTTAACTGTATAGGTCACATCAGTTTACAGGGGCAAAACTATCTTAACTACATAGGTCACATCAGCTTTGTGGATTTGTGAAATGTTTCACTTACCACAGCCATCTGAATAAGACAACTTCATGAAATAGATAAATCGGGTCTACTTCAACAGTTTCTGCTGGGACGTTATGGGTCAAGGTTTGGGTGATAAGATTATGTTAGTGAGGCCTTAGACTCCTACCGTCTAGAGTTGTTTATAACTACTCCTGATAACTGGTCTAATATATATATATAAGCCATTTGTCAATCTGCATGTGTGTAACGCTGGCATTATGTAACACTACTTGAGTCATTCTTAATTTAAGTTGCACTATTCTTGTTTTTTTTTTAGAGTGTACTTGAATTTTTTTCTTTTACAATAAAAGGGGAAGCTCGATAAGAAAAACTCTCTGAAGAAGGGGTGAGGCCCCCCGTTTATTATATATATATATTTACAAACCCCAACCCGTCAGTTTTTGGAGGGCCTGGTAAAGCTAGTTGTCTAATATAGGGAGAAGGGTACTGGACTTTTACAAGTTGAATGTTAAAATCTGGCTATTAGAAGGTTTTTGCAAGCAAAGTGCAGAAATAAACACATTGGGCACTCTGACAATAGTAGTAATGTCCTGAGCATAATTTGAGTGCATGAGCGTATTATTCATGTAGCTCTTGGGTCACAATTGTTGTTGCATACACACAACCTTATTACAGCTGTTTATATTAACCTACAGATACTAATCACAGAATTCCTGATGAGTTCATATCCTACCGGCTTTTTTAAAAACTATTTATGCACCGAATTGCTTTATAAGTCCATAACTATTAGTTTCAAAGACCGTAATAACATACGAGTCATACAAAAATGTGAATGAATTATTGTAATTAATCCCACTGATTATTATTGGGGTTTCCATAATATGTCTTAGTTAGAAAGTAAAGTATTTCACATAACGTTTTGGATACCGTACACTGAATTTTGCACCAGACAAAAAACATGGAATTATTCAAAGTGATGCAACACGTGAACCCTACCGGTAGTGAACGGCATAAAAAACTAGTTTAATTTGAGGGTTAAAGTAACCTTGAAATTTTATCGTTTCATTGATTCCATCTGATAGCTGTCTACGGTGGCAGAGGTGAACTCTTTTTTTTTAACATCGCCTGTTCACTCGGAACCATTTTGAGTGTACATATTGTTTTTATCATTACTGTAATGACTTTGTACATGTAACTTCTAAAGCAGTGTAATCCCCTGTGTTGCAATATCCTTGATATATTAAACACGTATAACTTGCCTCTTGCAGATTATGAAATTAAATAAGCCTCACGATAACCAAGTGGGTTTTAGCAATAATAAATTACTTGCTTATTTGACGATTTTACAATCAAACATGTTTGAGTGTTGTTGAATTTAACATGAGGATCTGTATGGCGAACTGTTGGTTTTAATATGAGGATGTGTATAGTGTGTTGTTGGATTTAACATGAAGATATGTATGGCGCACTGTCGGTCTTAACATGAGGATGTTTATAGTGTATTGTTGGATTTAGCACGAGGGCATGAATGGTGACTGTTGGTTTTAACATGAGGATATGTATACTGTATTGTTGGATTTAACTTGAGGATGTGTATATTGTATTGTTGGTTTTAATATGAGGATATACTTCATGTGACAGGAGGAAAGACTTTGGTCAGTCGACTAGCCACTCAGCGGTGGCTGGACGTCAAATCAGAGTGGACGTTGGACACTCATCGTACTAACCATACCACTATGAGCTATTCCTACCGGGTACACTGTGATGACAATTACTATGGTGAAGCCTGCGCTAAAGTGTGCCGGCCACGCGACGATAAATTCGGTCACTACAGCTGTAGTTCCAACGGCGACAAGGTGTGCCTGCCTGGTTGGACCGGAAAATATTGTGTGAACGGTAATAACTGCATAGATTCTCTCTGTGGTGGACGTATATGACTCAACTTGATACACGTGCAGCTGTTCCTGCACTAATTCGAAAAACACAGGACAGATTTTTTTATTATTATTTAAAATATGATTATTGTGAACCGTATGAGATTTTCATTTGGAAAATGATTCATCCAAATTTACTTATGCATGTATTCAGTGAAATATGCAGAGAAATGTTGTAATAAAACATAATTATTGTAAAGCATATAAGAATATCATTGTTCATCTAGATGCATATACGTATTGAATGGATTGCGCTTTTGAATAATGATCAACCAGCGACACTTAACATAACGTAGATTTAAATAATGGTAAACCAGCGACACCTGACATACCGTAGATTTAAATAATGATCAACCAGCGACACTTGACATAACGTAGATTTAAATAATGGTCAACCAGTGACACATCACATAACGTAGATTTAAATAATGGTCAACCAGCGACACCTGACATACCGTAGATTTAAATAATGATCAACCAGCGACACTTGACATAACGTAGATTTAAATAATGGTCAACCAGTGACACATCACATAACGTAGATTTAAATAATGGTCAACCAGTGACACATGACATAACGTAGAAGAAAATAATAATAAAACTCTAGGATTCGAAGATAAGTTCTAAAGTTATATCGGAAATCTTGTTTTCAACGGACACAACTAGAAGACAACAACATACAGTTGTCATGTTTCAACTTTTTTATTTTTTTACAAAGCAATATGAAAACATTGTCAAAATATAAACTATCAAGCGCTAGTTTAAAAACCACAGTAAAATGGAACAAATTGTCAGAAGTCTTGATATTGAAGAAACTAGTTTCTTTAACACCAATACTTCTAATAGTTTGTTCCCTTTACTGTGGTTTAAACTAACTTTTTACACACAGTATTGTGTTCATTTATTACCCTAAAGCACCAACCAGGCTTTTGCACCAACAACTAAGTTGTATGAAAATAATCAATGACATTTCTCAGTAATATAAGAATATCCAACCATTCATTATTGAGACATCTAACTAACGTAATGAATGGTTCGCTTTAGTTTTAAATGAATGAATATTCTTTACGCCTGATGATTTTAGGGTTTCACTTGTGTTTAATATTATTAAAAAGCGAAATTAACGACTGCTAAATTGTAACATAACATAATATAGTTTTATTTATGGTTGAGGTAGTAAGAGAATATATTTAGTTTTCAAGTAACAAATATTTATTATTATTTTGAGTAGTGCAGAGTTTCTTACCATCCATGACCCACTTAAATATATTTGTTTGTTTTTGCACGCTCCCCGTGACGAGATATACACTCAGATACACTTTGAAATGTTATATGTGTTGTAGTAATTACTTATTATTTTAATTAATTAAAGATATCATAAAACACTTCATTTTCTATTATTGTTCTATCGACTCTACCCTAATCGCTCGCATCACCTGAAGGGACCGTTTACAACTCCCCTGGGGGAGGGGGACGCCCACACTTTGTGGAACGCTGTAGTAATGTATAACAAATGTGATGTTACCTGTTACGTACTTCAGAGTAGCCCCCCCCCCCCAGTGGCACAGCGATATGTCTGCGGAATTACAACGCTAGAATCCGGATTTCAATACCCGTGGTGGGTAGAGCACAGATAGCCCATTGTTTAGCTTTGTGCTTAATTACAAACAAACAAACTTCAGAGTAATACGTTATTTTATGTAAGGCCCAGACTTTGTCTGTAATGCATCTACTGATTGCTTTCTTTTCTGATTCGGAGATCATGTTCCTTAATTAGAGCAGTATAATAATCAAACTTTTCTCAGCCACGCGAAATCTGGCTGACTAATTTGATGTAGTTGGATACATGTAACAGTTTGAATTGTTAAACAGATATCTTTGTAGCAATTAATCGTTAGTTAGCTTTTTTTTAAAACACAATTTCTAGAATATTCCTTTGATGTGCGAGAGATCACGTGTTCGACTCCAACCCGAAGAAATAACAACAAAATTAGTGTATTAAAAAAATAAACATTGTTGCTCTGTTATTTTTATTGAATTTCTTTGGATCATAGTAGAACTCGAGACCTCTCGCACTCCAGTCAAGCGCCCTTGACTCATTATTTGTTAGCAGTTCAAACTACCACGTAGTTCAAAGCCACCACCATGGGTCCGAGGTTCCGTGGTCCCATTGCTGTCAACAAAAAAATCACGTTACGCACTTCGGGGCCGTGGATGCGTTGTAAAAGTAACAGTTAAACCTTGTTATTCGATTACAGTAGTCCAAACGTTAGCGGTAGGTGTTGTTGACTAGCTGCTTTCTCACTAGTTTATCACTTTGAAATTGTGAAAGGCCAGCGCAGATAGTTATTGAGTAGTTTTGCGCGAAATTCAACAAACAAACAAAACCGACAATCAGATGAACACTTTTCCGCGAATCGGTCGATCATATAATAATTCTGTGCAGAATATTGTGTCATTGTTTTGTCTTTATAATTAACAACGTATCGACACCTCATTACATTCAGGTAGCAACCGAGGCAGATTATGAAACTGACACTTTTGTTTATTTATATAAAAGAAAAATTCACAAAACTATAATCTACCCGTATAACTTAATTCTAATAATGTGTGCACTTCATCCCTCACATTCGAGACCTTTTTTTTTTATGAGATTGTGCTATTTATTGCTTATCTTATTGTCTTTCTAGCCATCTGCTTACCTGGATGCCACAAACAAAACGGACATTGTGACAAACCAAACGAGTGCAGGTGAGTACAGGATTATATTCTTATATTTCCTTTCATTCAACTCGTATAGACGAACAGTCAACTTAAACTCCTTTTCACCATTGTAAGATGTAAGGAAATTCACGCTCGTTATAATTTGATTTTGTTGTTTTTGTCTGCTGCATAATGTAAGAAACTAAGACGAGGCTTTGCCATTTTTCCTTTTCTTTTTCAGTTGCCGGTATGGCTGGGAGGGTGCCCTATGTCAGCAGTGTTCGCGCTATCCTAATTGCGTCCATGGAACGTGCTCCCAACCGTGGCAGTGTAATTGTGAAGAAGGATGGGGTGGATTGTTGTGTAACCAAGGTAACAGACAGTAGCCCCTATCTTCTTACATTAATTTCATCATCAAATTGCTGTCGAAGCATGATCTAGGTAATTAAGTTTAAAAGTTAATATGCTTTGACGGCATAAATCCACGAACAAAGTTTTGCGCTCTTGAGTTTGTAGTTATTGGAAACCCTTCCTGACCTAACTCTATAGAGTAGACACGAACCGGTTCTGACCTAACTCTATACAGTAGACACGAACCGGTTGTTTCCTATTCAATTACAAAAACAACTTTCTCTTTGTATTTATTACCCACTTGGTGTTAAAAAACAGCTTGGTAAGTCATATAGCTGGTAAAACTAGGGTGTCATTTGAACTTATGGGATACTTATGTAACAGTTATGTAACTGTGTCATTATTATTAGACGTTTGTTTACTGAAAATGTATTTTTAGATCTAAAACATATTCAGAAGTACAGTGAACTCTTTGATGGAGTTTTTTCTTCTTGTTATTTGGTTGTTCGTATCAGTTATATATTGTTACTTGTTGGGTTGATTTCTTTTATACAGATTTAAACTATTGCACCAATCACAAGCCCTGTAAGAACGGAGGAACGTGCACTAACACTGGCCAAGGGTCCTACACATGCACGTGCCCTCAGGGAATCACAGGAACCAACTGCGATATCCAGGTGGACAACTGCGCACATCAACCCTGTCAAAATGGAGGAAAATGCAAGGTAAACAGTTTTTTGCATGACAAAAACCCTTAAATAACCAGGTGAAGCCTGTTTGCCTGTATATATTTATGGTAATTTTTACCTGAAGTTATAATGGTATAGGTTACTTCAGCAAGAAGTTATAATAGTGTTGTTAAGTAGCTGCACCAGCAAGGATTGGTATAAGTAGTCTTTTTTCTTGCTTTATCTTCTCGATGGAGTCTTGTTGGAGAATGTTGCAGCTGCTTCAGGTGTTTTATTAACTGAAACTCGAGACAACACACCTGCAGCAAAGTAACATTGCAACAACTAAATCAACTATAAATTCTAAGAACGTATGGGTGAAAGCAAAGAAGAATATGTAAGAACATGTCAACCACACTGTATCAGCCATAGCCAAGGCCGACGAGGTCTTTCGATTTATACCAGGGCTCATTAGGTCTGGAATACGACAAACATAGTAGTGGTCTTGGCGCTATTTATAGCATCATTTGCATGAACAACAAGGGTTAACATATGAAATAGATCAAGTGTAGTTATCATAATTTTTATACAAGCCGATTGGAAATCAGTAAGGATTAATGACACGATATTAATTATATATATATATTTAACACCAGTTATTTATTATTATTAACTGTAACATAATTAATTTTATGATTCAGAAGAACAGACAGATTCGTTCGTCAGTATTACATAAAGCATGACTAGTAAAACCTTTGACCCTGAAGCAGAAGTACCAATGAAACAGTTTGAATTTCTCATACATGCAAGATAACTTTATAACATTGACGGTGATAAAGTTTTGTGTTCTGAATCCTATGTATAAAGCTATATTCCACCAATCCCAATCGATCTACAAGAATGAAATAAAGCACTTAATAATGATAGTGTATTTGTTACTGTTTGTTGTTCAGTTTCGTATCGTGAACACGGAGCAGGACATATCAATATGTAGAGACATTTGTTTCGGACCTTGAAGCATGGGTTACGTGTGATATAAACAAAACTTATAGATTGCACATAAAACCACTGTTAGGAGCAAAATTGAATTCATGATGTGAAATAAAGTTTTATTAAACAATTTTGTCCGGAAAAATCTCGAAACAGTCGCATTGAGTTACACAGCGGTGCAGTCCTAGAAAAAAAGGTAAATATACACCGTGGAGGGGAAATTTGCATTTCCTATATCCTTGATATGTTACAATAATTATAAAGAAGACGTAATTTAATTTTCGACAAAACTTATTTAAACAGTTTTCGATAATTCGTACAGTTTAGACTCGAAAAAAAAATGATATACTTATTGTTCTTATCATAAAAATAGAAAAAATCTGACTACTGTATGAGGTTAAAATGCAAACTGCAGATCTGGACAACTGTAAAGTGCTGTTCACGAAACTCGAAAGATCTGCCTGCAATTGTGAAATATAACATATGACTCTAAATTAACGTGGATAAAACGTATCAATAATGTCGTAACAAAAGTTTGGCAACGCACGAATTATGTCAGGAGTCTAACGGGCAAAAACAATAGAACTTCAGCCGAGAACATTATCAAAACATACATACGCCCAGTAATAGAATATGCCTGCCCGGTATGGATTAATATAGCACCAAAACACATAAGTAAATTACAAGATATACAAAACTCGTTACTAACTATAGCATACAAACTATCGAGATCCATATCAACAAAACTTTTGCACAAATATACAAACACTCTCCGATAGACTCGTACAAAATTTGCTAAATTATTTCCCGCAAAATTTGCACAAAAATAACCTACTGTGTGAATTACACGATGTGAATTACATGCTACTGTGTGAATTACACCGCTACTGCATACATGATGAAGATAGCCCTAAGTTCCTCTCATCTCTTAATATTTACAATAGAAATAAAAATGTAATAAGGCCACCTAATGCTAGACTAAGACACCAACATTAGTTTTATGTTTATACGATAGTATTGTAAGGGTATTATATGTAAATGTTCTCGATGAGCAATAAAACCAATGTCATGTGATAAATACATGTGGAACTGTAAAGAGATCATGTATTTATCACAGGCCTACGAATTCAAACTTCATAAAAGTTGTTTTGGTTAAAATAATGAATTATCCATAATTCAGCTCCGCAGATATCGAAAATAATATTCATTGTTTTCTATCACGTAAGGATTTTTTTTTACAAATCGGGAAGAAAAAACTCTTACTTAAATCAAATTATTATTTCGTTTACCACAATGAACATTTTTTATTGTTATATTTGGGCTCTAGAACGATCAATGAGACTCTCACGTCGCGATTGGTCTAGAGAAATCTATAGCCGGGGGTTGTCAACATTTTAAGCATAAAAAATGTGTCCAGATTTCAATGAAAATTATTCACTTATGTAAAAGTATATATGACGTTTTGGAAAAATCTTGATATCATTTTCGGATATAGCGTACAGGAATTACTGTAGAACCTGTAACAATTTCAATACACTAAAACCATCGCAGGCCTGTGTTATCAATGTAAGTACCGACATTGACATTGCCCTGAAATGGGTCAGAGTAAGTGTGGGATACTCTAACCCTCGGGGGAGGAAGAGGTCCTCTGGAACCTGACCCTCCCAGGTCTGTAAGACCTCAATACTGATAATGAGACGAAAGACCATAAACTCTGCATGGAACACACTTTCTAGCAGGTATATGACCGCGAACTTTAAACGAAGCAGGTGGGTTTGTGGTGTATACCTATCACTACACCACTGGTATTTTATGTTTTACAGTAATAAACGCGAAAACCATCAAAGTTTGTGGCTGTTTTATGTATTTGTAATAAAATAAAATAAGAATTAATATAGCATATTGCATAAATATAGTCATTTCCCAGGTTTAGGCTATGTCAAACTCCCCCCAGTGGCACAGTGGCATGTCTGCGGATTTATACCGCTAGAAACCGAGTTTCGACACCCGTGGTAAGCAGAGCACATATAGCCCTTTATGTAGCTTTGTGCTTAATAACAAAAGAAAACAAAAACAACTATGGCAAAAAAATAGTTACGTTGGCTGTTGCTTATGGGCTGAGCCCATATAGCGTTATAAATTACTTACTTCTGACATTTTCACGTATATTCAGTTCAATGTTTCTGTAAAGAGATTCACAGAAATGTTTACCAAAATTTTGCAACGTTCAAATTATAAGCTGTCAATTGACAATGTCAGTTTCATAGGGGCCGAATTCTTTAGAGTAGGTGTCTGTGACTTGTTGGCGATAGATGTAAAAAATAAACGGACAGCACACAATCCACTTGTTTTAAAATAATATATTCGAAACTAATCAAACGTATGTACAAATATTTCGTTACACTGTTGGTTATCACAGTTTTATCCAGAGCCTTAAATATTTGTCTCCTTTTCGTCAAAATCCACACAGGCGGGTTCAATTACTTTAGAACACCCTTTGAAAAGACTAATTATTCTCTATCTCTTTATTACAATACAAGTTGTAAAACTTACTTTAGATTTTGCCCATTACAGCTAAACTCACACGCAGTCTAACTTCATTATTTTCACTTTCACTAACTTTCAATTTCTTACACTAACTTGATCGCCTCTCTCTCTCTCTCTCTATATATATATATATATTGTCCGACTGAGGCCATTGTGATGTAACAATATTCACTTAAAGCAACGAAAAAATTTCAGAAGGCTCGAGTTACGTGACGTCAATTCACAACAGTTGAACTCCGCAACAAATGATACGTTAAACAGTAAACGTAAGCAAACTTGAAATACCTATCGCTTTTATAAATAACTTACTTTAACACAATATAAACTAAATAGCCTCGTATTAAACTTAATATGAAACAGTCATGTATATCTAACAGACAATATTTTATTAGTATGTCAACACTAGCGAAATTAGATAAAGGCCAGAAAACAAAGTATAAAATTAGGTTTTCTTTAATGCATTACATTAAAGTTCGCGTTACATATAATCTTATGCGAACACGCGTCTTACAACCGCCTTAAAACATCTACACTTTTATTTAAGTTAAGAATGGAATCACAGTGGCGCAGTTAAAAATCCAACTAGTGAAACGTTGTTATTTTTAAGAACGTATAATTTCCAATTTGGGAACATTATGTGCTTACAGTTGTCACATTAGTTTAAATTTTGAACAAGTATGGGCACGTTTCTCTACAGCACCTTATAATAGTTGAGTAAAAATTGATCATTGTAGGTTTTTATTGTTGTTTTTTACCACACCACAGATATATTACTTAAAACAATCAATAGAAGCATACATAAATTGTGTTTACCATTCACTTCTGTCTGATCTCCTGGTAACTGAAGGGTTAAGTGTTTACTATTTTAGTAACACATCACTTTTGACAACAAAAAAGAACTACGTCCCAGTAATAAAGATGACGGTATAGTCTCTTGCAATATGTTGAATAGACCGACAGCATGGAAACGTTATGTAAAACCAATAAAATAATTAAGTTGTTATTTATTATATTGTCAGCTTTAAAAAAAAATATCGGGTGATAGTGCTCAGTAAATATTTTAACTTAGGATATATTCTTCTCAAAACTCAGCCACATCTGAATGATTAATATAACTGATGTTCCAGAATAAAAGTTCTGTTGAACTGCTAAAGTATTTCAATTTTTATTTTTACAGCCAGCGATTAAGACCTACAAATGCGAGTGTCCACATGGCTTTTATGGCCCCAACTGTGAAACGGCGTCCAACACGTGTTCAACTCACCAATGCCAAAATGGCGGGACGTGTAGGACTGGGACAAGTGGTTATGTGTGTGTCTGCCCTGATGGTTTTTCAGGTGATCACTGTGAAGACCGCTCGAACAAATGTGAACCCAACCCTTGTTTTAATGGTAAGTTTACGTAAGCAATGGACTTAAAGTATTACCTTTATATATTTCTTAGCAGATGTGGATTCAAGGATTGGAGACTGAGAGGACAAAATTACGTAAGCAGTGGATTTAACGTATTACCTTTATATATAAATGTCTTAGCAGATGTGGATTCAAGGATTGGAGACTGAGAGGACAAAATCACGTAAGCAGTGGATTTAACGTATTACCTTTATATATAAATGTCTTAGCAGATATGGATTCAAGGATTGGAGACTGAGAGGACAAAATTACGTAAGCAGTGGAATTAACGTATTACCGTTATATATATATAAATGTCTTAGCAGATATGGATTCAAGGATTGGAAACAGAGAGAAAAAATTCTTCAAGAACTCAATCACAAAGATCGTGATTTTTTTTTACTGCAGGTTACTTTAGTAATAACAGTAAAAGGCGATGTACTAGTTAACCATTCCCACCATATGTCGAATAACTTTAGAATACTCACTGTATTTGAGTGGAAATATATGCCTGTTTGTTGGACCTACTTTTTACGATCTACTGTTGGTAGCCAACCGTAAAGCATCATGGGAACGACATTCGGTGTCTAGAGCGTTTCATAAATGCTGACAGTGCTGGTTTTGGTATTCTATCGATTGTAATTGGTTCTAGTTTTAGAGTATCCATGATTATTGTAAGTCGGCTTTTAACTAGGATGATGAAGATCAAATCATAGAAAGCATGAACTCGATTAAAACAAATACTGAAAATACTTTTTGATAAGTTACCCATGCTGTACTAACCCAAATTAGCAACAATAGTATTTATAAAAAATAGTTATAGGCTTCCAAAAAGGCCTTCTATTTAAGGTACCTGATACCGATAAAAAGAAAATAAAACAATTAATTAGTCTTCAGTATTCATTCATCCCTTTGCCTTTCTTGCCAAGAAAAATATTATGTTGCATTCAGGTCAGCCAAGGCTCTATACGTTGCCCACACCGTACCAAAACACAGACAGGTCCAGGATGCATTACCTCGAAATCCCTCATTGTTTCTTAACAATAAAGGTAGTAGTCTCGATTGATTGATAGTGTTCTGTAGATTATATTAGATTCTTCCTAATTAAATCGAACAGCAAATGTTCGTGACCGACATAATTTTAAATGGGCTTGATATTTAACGGAAATGCACATCATCATAACAACATGACATATTAATGTCATAATATTACATAGAATAGTAACGGTTTTTTACGAATGCTCAACCAACTACTCTCCTTCATTTAGTGCAATGTGTTTTATGAAATTTAATTTTTTGTTTCTGATAGTGGATTCACTGTTACAGGAACACCAAAATATATAAATTAAAGACAAAACCATTTGTGGCAAATTATAACTGTAAAATGCTATACAATTTCGAAAATTTTCGAAATGCAAGGAAACGTGAAAATCCTATATTCACTTCGGACGACAGACAGCTTGCAGTTGGTAGTGGGAAATAAATACTTTTATTACAATAACTCATTTAGGAACAACGTTTCAATCGCTACTGCGATCTCTCTCGAATGTAAAACATAAAATAAATTAGAAATAACAATGGAAAGAAACAGTGCAATAAAAATATTTATTTCCCACTTCTACATATCGTACAATGTGTGATATTGGTGGAATAACTCAAGTTAAACATTAATGTACAATATTTGTTCGTTACATCCAGTAGTATTCGTACATCTTGCTGAAAATAAAACAAGAAAATTTAAATTATAAAAATACTTTACCATTTGCGATCTATTACGTGTGTGTGTTTTGTTATAGCAAAGCCACATCGGGCTAGCTGCTGTGTCCACAGAGGGAAATTGAAACCCTAATCTTAGCTTTGTAAATCCGAAGACTTGCCGCTGTCCCATCGGGGGACAGGGATCTATTACATCATTTACATTGATTCATGATGACTTTCAAGGATAACTTGATTCCTTTTTTTTATACTTGTTAGAAACAAATTAGCTAAACTTATAGAAACGTGAATTAACATGTTAAAATAAGTTTGCTTCAAGGCTAAATGTTTTTTTTTTAATTAACTAACACTGTTCAAAATATCTGTTTGCTATATGTCTCAATCCATGTTATATTAATATTATTTTAAACCTGGATTTTGTTAAACAGGGAATCTTCCTAGTATCAGTCTATACGAACTTGAGCGTGGTAAAGATAGGTGTTTATCTTGTTCCCTCAGGAAGCTGCATACAACGAATGGATGGTTACGAGTGCTTATGTTCTACTGGATACACAGGTGAACACTGTGATGTGGATATCAACGACTGTGCGGAGAATCTTTGCCTCAACGGCGGCACTTGTGTGGACAACATCAATTCCTTCCACTGCTCCTGTGTTCCAGGCTTTATGGGGTCCTTATGTCAGACTAACGTAGACGACTGCCTCATTAAGCCTTGTGCTAACGGAGGTACTTGCCACGATTTGGTTAACGACTTCTTGTGCGATTGCCAACTGGGGTTCACTTCTAAAGATTGTTCTGTCGAGATCAACGAATGTCGTTCCAACCCTTGTCGTAATGGTGGGACGTGCGTGGACCGCGTGAATGAGATCCTGTGTCTATGTCCTTATGGATTTTATGGTAACATGTGCGAAAAAAGCTCTCATACGAGTGGAGATGAAAATAGTATTGTACAACGTCAGAGTGCGAAGTTTAACAAGAATGTATCCGTAAGTAGTCCACAAGTAGTGACCCCTACTTCTGGTGTGCAAGTTTCTCATCATATTTCTGATGAAGTCAAACATACACACCTCTCCGGGCACCAGGTGGCGCTTATCGCTACACTTTCTGCTTTAATGCCGATAGTTACTCTGATTGCAGTACTATTAATATTGTTCTGCCGTCAACAAAAGCGTCGAGAAAGAGAACGCGAAGAAAAAGTAATGCGAAAGCAGAATGAACAAAATATAATAAATAGCATCAACAACAAATTCTTTGACAATAAACTATCCAACACAATTGAGAGGCCGAACCAAAAGTCACTAAATATTAGCAATCAGGGTCAAGACACCTCTGCTGTTTTAAAAGAGCAAACATTTATGTCTAGAACCGACAGGTTACTAAACAAAGACTGTAGTAGCAAGAGTCTGGATACAAACCATGACAAACAGTTTCTTAATTCACAAACGACTTCGGAAAGAAAGGAATCAGCTCAGTCCGTAGCAGCAGGAATCAACAAAAGGTATTTATTAATATTATATTATTATTCCATCGTATCTGCGTTGCTTCACCCTGAAGACGCGAACTGAATAACTTTCCATAAGATACCAAAACATGCTCAATGTTTCAAGTATTCCTTAACTTTTAAAGTTACCATGTGCAAATCTCATATTTTTTACAGGCGTTCGTACTACTCGTTTTCTAAAATATAAGGTTTTATAAATATAAAATATTTATATTTCAATAAACCTGTTTCTGCCTTGAAGTTTGAAGACAACGTTTCAGCACACTCTTACAAGCTTTCACAAGGCCAGTACCCTTCAGTTGGCTATGGCTTTACCAAAACTCTCTGGCTAACTGATGAAGGAAAATACAAGTTTATTGAAATGTCGTCTCTTAGCTATTTTGAAAAGGTAGACTTTCTTTCATATTAAACTGGAATCGACTGCATCCTAAAACTTGTTATTACAGTATTCTAAAAAAATTATCAATATAAATTTCATATCTCCATCTCCGAATAAACTTCGAACTACATAGCTTTTGTATTGTTTGATGTTAAGCAAAATGTTGCACAATGGGCTATATGGGCTATTTTTACAGCAGGGATTGAATCCAAAATTTTCAAGCTTACCAAGCCAACAGAAAGTCAGGATACAAAACAAAAATTAATTTACATTTTCTATAAATATTTTATATTTTATCCACTCTTTTGTAAAAATGTGATCTTCATATTTTACACTTAATTGTTAAAGTGAAGCTAATAAAATCTTTCACTGATTTTGAGTTTCAATTCTATTGTTACTTAGAAATACGAAATATATACCAAAGGTGATTTTTATTTACAAAACTTTGATCATAAAATATAGTAATACCATTTTGTTTGATTTAATAATGATAAATTCAGATCAGAGTAAGCTATGTACTTAAAGTGAAACTAAAGGTCAACCTGGCCATCAGTATAGCTAATTAAATATACTGATCTTATGTTTCTTGTTCTAACGATTAGAATGCATTGCTTTACCAACTGGGTTCCCTTGCTGCTAACGCTATTTTCGGCCGTAAACCCAATAACACCAGCTTAGGATATTTAAGTTAATCCTAGATCAAATTCTAAGCTAACAGTACAAAACAATTTTTATTACAAAATTATAAAAATAAACAATAAATTAAAATAAAATGAAAAATTACACTGGATATACCAACTAGTATAACTAGCAATGCTAATGAAAGCAACAATAAATATAAAATATAATATACCTTACTCAGGAAGCACACAAACACTAGTCACTGTCTTCATGTAAGAGTATGTTTCTTATGTAAGTAATCGGAACTTATGGAAGATATAAGAATTTATTATATTATAATTATTATAAATACATATTAAGTGTTTTTGTGAAAATAAAACACTTAAATTGTAGCCTGCCTCAACTTCTAGGCCTTCAAGATGGTCACCAATTTGACTCTTTTTGCATAGTGATTGTATAACGTATTGAAAGAAGGTGGAGGTTATTAAAAAGTTTGGAAATTGGTAAAATTAAGATTCTTCATGTAATTGTTTTTATTTGTTAGAGCCATCTCCACTAAGTTTAATCTCCAACATCAAAATAACTTAATATAACCATCGGTTTCTTGAGCTAACACACATGACACGATATTATTTAATTTCCAGAGTTGTTTAGTGCAGGAGCTGCATAACACAGGCTTTTAAAAAGAAACAAGTATTGTATAGGGAAATAATTATTTTTTATGATATTTAATCTTTATCACCTATCAAAACAGCTTAAACAATTCAAAATCAACAGTAATGTAAAAAATGTTTGCTAAATATTGGATAACAAATCTCATACCATAACCACGTGCTACATTTATGAGCTATGTGTATATATATATACTACTAGCCTAAATAGAGAATGACATCCAACAGTTTCGAGCTATATCGACCATCACCACTCTAAACAGAGAATGTCGTCCAACATTTTCGAGCTATATCGACCATCACCACTCTAAACAGAGAATGTCGTCCAACATTTTCGAGCTGTATCGACCATCACCAGTCTAAACAGAGAATGACATCCAACAGTTTCGAGCTATATCGACCATCACCAGTCTAAACAGAGAATGTCGACGACATTCTCTGTTTAGAGTGGTGATGGTCGATACAGCTCGAAAATGTTGGACGACATTCTCTGTTTAGACTGGTGATGGTCGATACAGCTCGAAAATGTTGGACATAAGGTTAAGTCATGTACTCGAGTAAATTTAATAAACTTTTACACCGTCATGAAGACACCAGCTCTAATGGATGACATTTTCTGTTTAGACTAATGATGGTGGATATAACTCGAAACTGTTGGATAACATTTTCTGCTTAGATTGGTGATGGTCGATATAGTTCGAAACTGTTGGATAGCGTTCTGTATTTAGGCTGATGATGGTCGATATAGTTCGAAACTGTTGGATGACATTCTCTGTTTAGACTGGTGATGGTCGATACAGCTCGAAAATGTTGGAATAAGTTAACATAACAAGTCAAACTAAAGTTGATGCAGTTTAAGTAGTAAACTTCGAAGCTGGTGAAATCACAAAGTCTTACATTGGACTATACAGTAAACTCATTGTGATCTTAAGCAATATATTTAGTCTGTGTTAAAATGAGTTATAGCATGAAACATAGAAAAATGCCATTATCAATTTTTTTCTGTAAACCACAATCAGCGAGGTGTTTTATTTAGAAGAACTCACAAGACCAAAAGCAATGTAATTCAGAAATTTTTAAGACATCTTTCTTGATAAAAAGTGTCAGTAGTATCAATGAATACCAAGTTTTTAAGGCAACTTTCTGTGTATAAGGTGTCAGTAGTATTGATGAATACCAAGTTTTTTAAGGCAACTTTCTGTGTATAAAGTGTCAGTAGTATCGATGAATACCAAGTTTTAAAGAAAATTTTCTGTGTATAAGGTGTCAGTAGTATCGATGAATACCAAGTTTTTTAAGGCAACTTTCTGTGTACAAGGTGTCAGTATTATTGATGAATACCAAGTTTTTAAGACAATTTTCCGTGTATAAGGTGTCAGTAGTATCGATGAATACCAAGTTTTTACCTTATACACAGAAAATTGTCTTCAAAACTTGGTATTCATCGATACTACTGACACCTTATACACAGAAAGTTGCCTTAAAAACTTGGTATTCATCGATACTACTGACACTTTATACACAGAAAGCTGCCTTAAAAACTTGGTATTCATCAATACTATTGACACCTTGTACACAGAAAGTTGCCTTAAAAAACTTGGTATTCATCAATACTATTGACACCTTATACACAGAAAGTTGCCTTAAAAAACTTGGTATTCATCGATACTACTGACACCTTATACCCATAAAATTGTCTTGTTGAAAGTATCGATGAATATCAAGTTTTAAAGACAATTTTGTGTGTATAAGGTGTTGGGAATATCAATGAATGCCAAGTTTTTCAAGACAGAATTTTGAACACGTTCAGCATCAATTAGCAATGTTTCTTTAAATACATAATTTTTTGTTTATTTGATAGTGTTCCAATCAAATGTGTCAGCTTTTCAATCACGTATTTTGGATTTATATATATATCTATTCATGTGTCTGTTCACTAGTACTAATTACTAATATATTTTCTTTAAGACAATATTTCATGAACACAGCGTTCTTTGCTAATATTTTTTCTATAACAGTCAACAGAACATACTTTTAAATTTAGCATTTTTCGTTCATAATACTTTTGAAATGTTAATGTTTTCTGTATCACATTGTCGCTACTGAAACCTTGGAAATATTGATGTTTTTGCAGCGCCTTCTGCTCACTACTTCTACGATGGGCTTGCACCTGGCATGCAAAAAGTAGGCTTCGTTTACAATGACACTTGTTGATAATGGCTTGGATAATGGAATAAAATTTTGTCTATTTCACATACTTGTGACTTAAAAAAAAAACATAGAACTCACCCTGACTAATTGTACTAATCTTTAGCAGATTGAGAAACTAGTGTCACCGTCGTTTGATGGCACTGATGTCCAACAGGTCGACTTGTTTTTTATTAATAGACCGAATTCCTTCAAGAAAACAAAATCCCCAAATCCTCTAAAGTATACAAAAGACACACATTTCAACAATCCAAAAGTACATAATGTTTTTTAAAGTGTAATGAATATGATAAAACTGAAAAACATATGACGTAATATATATGATAATCCCGAGCAAATGTCGAGGAAGCTGATAGGTTCGCTTCTGTGCGTGTATCTCATACAACTAAGTTGTCAGTTGATAGGATATTAAAAAAAAGTATGGAAAACATATTCATAAAAAACTGGTAATAACCTAATGAAAAGGATTGAATAATTATACTGATGACTTCGCATAAAAAAGCCAATATGTTCCATACCGTCATACTGAAAGTCTTGACTTATGAAAGACCCCTTCTAGTGGCTCAGCGATAACTCTGAAGGCTTATAACACTAAAAACAGAGTTTCGATACCCATGCTTGGCACAGCACAGATAGCCCATTGTATAGCTTTGCTCTTGAGAAGCAAACAAACAAACCTGAACGTCGGGTGAACAAACCCGTTCATCATCTTTCAACTGTAAGTAGGGTCATCAGATTTGAGCATAAAATCTTCCAGCAACAAAATTAGGAAAAAAATATGATTGGAAATGAGATGAAGTATAAGCATTTTTGTAATGGTGGACTAAAGTGTGTTTTTTTGCTTTCAACATAATTTTTTAATAAAAGCTGTAGTATTCATTTCGCATGAAATATTTTGTAGTCATTAGGTAACAGTTGATTGAAAGACTCCCCAGTGGCACAGCGGTATGTCCGCAGACTTACAACGCTAGAAACCGGGTTTCGATACCCGTGGTGGGCAGAGCACAGATAGCCCATTGTGTAGCTTTGTGCTTAACTTCAAACAAACAAACAATGATTGAAAGAAGCAGAATTATTCACTGTTTTTTTGTACTCTTATTTCTGTTTAACTTCAATAAATTATGTATGTATATGAACGGACTATATTTACTCCGAGTTTAATTCGATAAACATTTTATATCATTTACGTATTTTGCCATTTCGAAGATCCTACTATAAAGTAGCTGTTTCGCTAAATTAAAAGGAGAATGTTTCATAATTATTACAGGAGAAGGAGATCATCAACCACACACGATTAAATTTTAAGTTCTTCATGATTTTTTTAAGACTATTGGTACTACAGTTTGCTGGTGTGTGCCTTTGGTTTGGATTTAAATCCCACTAAGGGCTGTTTTTTAGCATCTTTATCTATTCCACATAGAAGTTAAACTGGTCAGATTTCTTTCCACTTCGCATTAATGTTTATAGAAATTCTGCGATTTTTAAGAATGATGATATGTGTAGACTATTTCAATGGGGAGAAAGGGTGGGGGTCTTCCAAGCCATTATTCATCATTCTGCGATTTGTTATCCTGATTTATTTATGTGGTAAGCTCGAGATCTGAAAGTGTATTTTCTTTGTGCAAGTTAATGATCACAAATGTGTTTATATTTGTGAGCATAATATCCACCCAGAGTGTATGAAGGATCGTTATTTTACAAATGTATAATATTTCAAGTTTTCATTCGAGTTCACACGCTGTTAAAGGTAGCTTTAGAGTACACGGACCGCAGCAGTTATCGATTTTAATATCGATCAACAGGAGGCTGCTGAAAACGGCATGAAATTATATAAGATTATTATTTGTCCAGGTAGTTACTCTTTCATAGTTGGTAAGTTAGGAGTTTACAAATTTCGCAGATTTTTCTCGTTTCAAATCGTCCCTCATAATACAGTCGGATGTCTGTATGAGACAATGGCTTAATGCGGAAATATTCTAGCCATGAGTCAAGGCTCAGATTAAGTTTACCCGAATATGTGATAAAATATCTTGTGATTAATAATTATGAATATTAATATTGTATGGCAATGATATACCTAACTTTTGCAATATAAAATCACGTATTTAGGTTTTGTTTCTTGTGTGTATGTGTGTGATAAATAGAGACCGATAAAGCGTATAGCGTGATTTTGAGGTATGATCTGCTTGAAAATTAATGCACTTGTTCAAACTAGTTAATATATATACACGTATGTATATTTACTTATTTTATATGGGTCAGCGGTAATTTTAGAGGCTTACAACGCTAAAATCTAGATGATCCAATTTCGATTAAATTTGGTAGAAAACTCAAGTGACCCCCGCTCCACGTACACACACACACAAACAAAGATCAGAGTTTCAATAGTCAAGCAGTCGGACGATCGGTTGAAAGTACAACTGAAAGATGATGTCGGTTGCAAAATACATGAAGCCGACGCCAAATGAAAGTGACGTTTAATGCCGCGTGTAGCATGGGTAAGTTTGAATCGGACGAACGGTTCGTGTACTACAGCTCAAAATTTATTGCAGTGCTTTTTCAAACTATAAGTCGTAAGCAGAATACAACGCGTTTGGAGAAAAAAGTAAACCCTGCAATTTGGGAAATATATTACCTTGAAAATTAATATACTTGTTTGAGTATCAAAATTTACGCTAATCAATGATTTGTTTTCTACATTCTCTTTTATTGACAAAAAAATAATATTTTTTCATGTTTAAGATTAGTTCGGATGATCATTGAAGCCTTCTGTTAACACTCACGTCTATGGATCGACTGCTCCTTACGTTTTCCTCGATTTAACCTTTACCAAAAGTTTCGATTCATTGTTTAGTTCTGTAGTTAATTTTGAAACAAATAAAATTTTGAATGACGCATGCGCATGTTTAATAAGAGTACTCGTTTTGCCTATAAATTTAAATCTTGGTCACCCAGTGTTGTATTAGTCAATTTACGATGTTTTGGAGACACGAAAGGACAGTTAATAAATTATAAATGACACTTAATAAAATATAAATAGGACACACAGTTTGTGTGAAATTAATGATTTTGAAATATTTCTCAAATAAATCTAAGTGCTTTGCTATTTCTTTTTTCGACTGTATTTTCATATAAACATACAGTTTTTTCAATACTTTGCCATGAGGCAAGTTAAAAAACCTTTCTAAACTGGCAGACCTGTGAAAACCAAAAACTACTGATATTATAGATACAAAAAAATCAATTTTAGTAGCATTTTTCACATCAAAAAATAATTTAGCAAATGTTTTTCGGTCTCTGATGGCTCAGCATTAAATTCGAGGGCTTATAACGATAAAATTGGGTACTAGGTTCCTGTCGCAGACAGAACATATAGCCCGTTGTGCAGCATTGCGCTAAAATAAAACAAACGAGAAAATATTTTTGATCGGAAGTGACGTAATGCCTGTAACTTGTTGTCACAGCAGTTGAAGCTTTTCTAGCCACGTCCTTACAATCATATGTATCCTGAGCAATGGCTAATTTCATTTGTATAAAACTAGTATTTTTTCTTTTTCTGTTTTTTTTTAGCGATTCCTCATCATCGTGTCCTCACAGTACTGTTTACGTCATTGAAGACGACTTCCAACAGGAGCTCAGTAAGGAGGTTCTTGGAACTGAGGTGTGATGAGATTATTTAGCGGAGGTTTAAGAAGATTCATGGTACAGACGTGTGAGTTGATTCTCTACGTTAGTAGTCTCCCCACAAGGTTCACTAAACTGTTTCAATGAGTCACTTTAGATTTTATTTATTTATCGTTCACAGAGAAACACAAAAACAATTAACTAGCCGTGCAGCGACCTGTCAGTGCCTTGCATATTTGTAAAGTAATCGGGATTTGTAAGATGGGAAACAGAAAGGATTAGAAATTTGTACATCTTTATTACTTTGGACATCCTTTAACGTTTTGTAGTAAGCCATATTCTACAAGTTCGTTGTTTTTGTGCTGCTATTTGATGTACAACAATTTTTGTACATTTGAAATGTCAGCTTGTAGCTCCAGATTTTGAAGACTCGAGAAACAGTACCATCAAGCTCTAGTTACTAAGATACCTTATTTTATATTATTGTTGTAAAGCTAAGTCATCATAATTTGACCTTTTGGTGTACATAATATTGTATATTTATAGTTAGATGATCACTATTGTTGTTGTAAAATATATATACTGCTGTGCCACTGTCGTCACTGTCAATAAACTCATTGCCATCAATGTCTGCACCATCAACTTGTGTACGTGAGAATTTGATACACCTAAATGGGCTGTTTACATACCGACATTCTTAAGCTGACTTACTGAAACCAACGTGTTTTTTCATGTAGTAACGTCTGTAATTCCCTACCAACCTAATCTATACGTCTGTGAACGAAAAGAAAATCCTCATCCTGTTTATGCTAAACAAAGCAATAATTTAGCGTTGAATTCCGCACTTTTCCTTTAGTCTAATATTAAAAAGCTTGTAAATCTATAACGAGCTAATAAAGTAACAGAACAGAACAAGAATGAACTCGAGGAATTTAGATGTGGTGGTGAATTTAAGAGACGATGTTTTTAAATAATATTTTTGTTGAAACATTCTTCACTATACAAGTTCCTCTCCAACATTTGACACGCTTTATCTTGCACATTACTGAAAGTTATAATGGTGATTTGTTTTAAATTTTTGAACACATTCAAGTTTTGTTTAAATCAGTCATGCAAGAGTAGCATTTACTTCTGTTAAAACGAAGAATGTATGTAAAGTTAATTTTAACCCAAGCTTTTCAAACATTCTGAGATTCATCGTTGTCTTGTTGTATTCTTATTTAAAATCCTGTGATTAGGTTCAGCCGCGTACTGTTGATTTGATTAGTTATTGCAACACTTCTATCATTTCCTATGTTTTGTGAATACTGCGTTTTCTAAATATAGATAATGACTATGGTAGTTCCTTACGCCTAAATTTGAAAATTCGGTTTCATTTATTCGGTACTTAAGTCACAAAATTAGCTTTCCAAGAGACGACTCGAATAAGTAAATAAAATTATTTTAACTTAAACTTAACTAGTTATTTTTACAGGAGGAAACACAACCTACTTCTTAAACAGTCTTTAGATATTCATTCTTTTTGTATTTTATTGGATAATTTATTATTTTTACTGAATCAAAGAAATCTTTTCTTAAACAGTCTTTAGGTTAATCGAATCTATAATCAAAAATGACAGCTAATAGTTTACTCTCCTTTGAATGGCTTCACCGTTAAAAATGAACGAAGTATGATTTTGAATTATTTAAATATGAAACAAATACCAGTAGTTCTGTCTTGCTGCACCTTCTTTACAGATTGCCAATGTATAACAGTTCTTTTAAATTTTCTGATAATGAATGAGTAAACAAAAAATACACATCTGAAATATAGCAGTAAAGGAATTTTTAAAGTACGTGATAATTTTATAATTAAAAATATATTTTTGTTAAATATGTCAGGAAGTTTCTCGTACAGATGTAAAATATTTTCACATTTTATACATAGTATTATTTTTTTAAATCTATGATCCAGCACTGTCTTCTCCAAGCCTACTATGATCCAACACTGTCTTCTCCAAGCCTACAACTTGAATGCTGATAAAAATTAATAATTAATTTATTTTGCTTTTGTAGCTTCAAGTAAAGCGTTCGTTCGTGTCAGGAAACTGGAGACAGTAATTTAGTAAATAATATACTCCTTATTCCCTATGATTAGTTTCGGTATTAACACTTAAACCTTCATCTCAGCAATCTTTCCTTTCATAATTGTTAGTTCCCTATTTTCGCACAAAGCTACACAAAGGGTATCATCTCCACATAGCTGTCCATAATTTTAAAGTGATATACTTGAGGGAAGGCAGCTAGTTATTCAACAACACCCACTGTCAACTCTTGAGCTACTCTTGTCTGATCGAATAGTGGGATTGTACCGTCACTCGCATTAAAAATAGGTTATAAAACCTATATAAAGTGCATTTTACTGCTAAGAATGTTTTATCATAGGATAATTGTTGAACAGCACACGTATATTTATTGAAACAATGGTTACAAAATTAATGCTCTGATTATGAATATTTTTCAGTCGTGGAGTTAAATAGTAGTGATAAAGAGCTATTATTTGGTTGAAAAGCAAAACTAACGTTTTTTAAAACAGATGAAAGTCATTACATTGTTCTGACAACTCAAGAAATATAAAGATAATATATTGACTCAAATAAAAGCAAAAAAGTTTATATATTTGAAATAGTTACGGTTTAGAAATAGATCGATTCTACGATTTACGATTGCTAATCTCAAACAGTTATTGAATATGTTAAAAACAAGTGAATGATATTTTTTCTGCTTCGAAATAATCTGTATCCTCTATGTTGGAAGAAAACATGGAATTGTAAAATGTTCCATATTTCATTCATACAACGTTTTTGTGTAAGAAAGAATAACCTAAAACGTAAGAACATCCTACACATGTTTCCGTCTTTGACTTTAAAAGTATAACTTAGCGTTTTTTCTTTGTTGATGAGCACAAAGTTTCTTTGCTGTACCCACAGCAGGAATTTGACCCCGTATTTTAGTGCTACAAACCCTCAAACTGGAAATAGCTACTCCACAATGTGTTATGCTAAATCCATTGCTGAAGATGAATAAGACGTGCCAGAGTATAGTAAATAAACAATAAAGAAGACCCCTATATACAGAGTAAGGTAACCAATATGTTTTCACGGTTCTTTAAGACAGTGTCTCGTGATTTGTGCTTGGATCGACTTCAGCCTTGGTGTTGATCTTGAGACAATATTTTGGGTAACATCTCTATAAACTAGAACAGGTGTACTCGTGAAATCGGTAATAGTAGGAACCAAAGTTTGTAATTCCACATATGTGTGTAGTGTCTGGGAATGAAGTTTATTAGTGTGGATAATTGTAAGTAATCTCCTAAGCTGGCTGCTCTGTTGCATGGGATGTACACTCCTTCTGTAATTATGTAGCTCCTTAATGTGAGTATGTTGGTATGCAGGACGACGAAAGTTTAGAATTTCCTCAGTACGATTGACTACATTTTTGATGTTTTCCATGCTATTCGTATGTGATAGTTTCTTTGTTAAAGATGTATCTAGCAACATCTCTGGAATGCTCTGGAAGAAACTGCCTGTATTTTAATTGGTGTTTGTCTATTTACAACGTTTCTCGACCAACGTAAATTCCTATGCTTTGACAAGTTTTGCATTTGATTATTCATATTCAGTTTCCATCAACTTATAATAGCCTGTTTTGTGTGTAATTCAGCTTGTCGCCCCCCAGTGGCACAGCGGTATGTCTGCGGACTTACAACGCTAGAAACCGGGTTTCGATACCCGTGGTGGGCAGAGCACAGATAGCCCTTGTGTAGCTTTGTGCATAATTAAAAACAAAAAACAAAACAATTCAGCTTGTCATATATTTGCTTGATTTCGCATATTAAACTGTCTTTCGAAATGTAAATAAAAGTTTGTGATTTTATTGAACTTCTCTATCTGTCCATTTATTCAAACGGGATTAATTCACCTTACACTTACCCGGGTTAGGGATTCTCGATTATTGCTGGAAATACAACTTGTACTTTAGAATAACAGTCCGAGTCCTTTGTCGGGAGAATGAAGAAAGAAAAAACTTAAAAAGCAGTAATTAACGATAAGGAAAGACAAGTTTATTTCTGAAAATATATATAATCAGACTCGGCCAGTTGGCTTCGTAACGGAATTCTTCAGTATTTTCTTAAATTTCATAAACGCAATAATTAAGTCAGTCCTGTTGCTTCTAACATTAACACTTAAATTATAATAATACTTTAAATGGGTTTTTTGTAGTTGATAATAGATTGATGGCTAAAAATAGTAATTTTAATCGTGAAAAATTGAAATTTGATAAGCCTTTTTAATGTGCTAATTTTAATAAGGAAGCTTTTCACAAATGCTTCGCTAGATGAAGTGGTTTACGTCAGTGCTTACTTACTTTTTCGAGGAAACTTTTAAGTGGTGTAACTAAGTCTTTATTTACTAAATGCTAGATCTGCTACAGTTGTGTTTAAAGGTATCAAGACTATAATCAAATGTCCATATATCGGTTCAAAAGTGGTCCCTAGTTTGAGGAATTTGTTTGTGTCGTGAAATCTATAAGCCCCTTTTTCATTGCAAACAGATTGATTATATCTTCATGAATGTCAAAAAGAAAACAAATGTTTAAGCTTATGCAGTATTTAAATGAGCAACATTTCTATTAAATCAACAAGAGCTCTTGTATAGGTATTTTAGATCTATATATAAAAATGCGTGTCAACAATAAATCATTCTTTCTTAATCGTTAGCTAATGGTTTTTATATCTAATTTTAAAATAAATATTTTTGCGCATTGTGCTTGTAATCTTATCCGTGAATTTGGCGACTTTTTGTTTCAAGAGGAAATGCAAAACATAATTTTCTGTCAAGATAATTGTTTTTCTTTATTCTTTTCTATTACACACAGTCAAGATGTGTTTTAATTAACCTTACAATCAGTTACAAAACTGTGATGTTTTTAAACTGCTTGCTATTTTCATTCTTTTATTAATTGCTGTGATTGAACAGTTAAAAAAAAAGAAAGTCGAGTATTTCCTACGTTGTCTTTTGTTTTGTGTTTCATCTCACTCTTTACATCTTCCAGTTGTAAAGACAGGATACTTGCTCATGTATAGTTTACGTCATTGACAGTCCTCGCAGGGATCAACAGCTCGTTGTTTTTTTCACATCTGTATGAAAGACCATTTGAAGACTAACGTAAGGAATAGGTCCACTTTTACCATCAATTCGTCTATAGCTGTAATGAAGATCCAAGGAGTAAAGATAAAGTTTGTTTGATGTCTCGAAGAGCAGAAATCTAAAAGTGAAGTTTATTTGTCCTCTGAAGCTAAATGAGTCAGCTGAGCATTGATTACAGTTGTGTCTGACAGTGGGTTAGAAATTTTGGGCTGGAGTTACAATGGGCAGGCAGGAAGTGTATGAATCTTTACAGACAAACCACATTTTTTTTAAGCTCTACATATGATGTATTCAGACGTGGGAACCATCAAGCAGACTTTGACTGGGTGCTGAGTTGGAAGCTCATTGTCCGACTAGGTTCAACCGAGGCTGCACCATTGGTATCTTATATGTTTCTGATTTTAATTTGTAAGAAGTTTAGAGTCTTTTGTAATTCCTGTTTCTTATATCGTA